TGTGTTGTCCCCCCGTTGAACCGAAGAAAGCCATAAAGGCACCCTTGGGGCCCCCCACCAGCCCTGCTGCAGGTCACCGGGGTCTGCTGCCCTTGCAGGCACTTCCAAAAGGCTCCTGCCTTGCACTGCCTGGGGTCCGGGGCCATGCCAGGGCTTCCCACACCCTGAAGCCCCTGCCTCTCCTTCCCCAGTGGCACCCTTGGAGAGCTCCAAATTGAAGGGAGGGGGAAGGAAGGAGAGCTGTCAAGAACCATTCCCAGTCCCTCAGCATGGGAGAAAAATGGTTATTTATTTAAAAAAAAATAAACCTTTAGTTTTTCTAGTACATCCCTTTGCGGTGCCCGTGCTTGCCGCGGGGCGCGGGGTGTGCGGTGCTTTTCAGCACGGGGGGGTTTGTGTGTGCAGAGCAATCCTGTGAACGGGGCTGGAGCACGGGGCTCAGTGCAGGCTCCCCCGGGCGCTGCCGGCCCATGCAGGGCCCCTGGGCCTCTGGCCACGAGCAGGGATTGTTATCAGGGTTGTCACTTGGGTTTCCTCCCCAGACAATCCACCTGGCAGAGAGCGCTGGTGCGCTGCCGGCCATCAAGAACGGCTGTCCTGTGCCTGTGCTGCCCCTGCTGCCCACGCCAGCCAGCATTAGCCAGGCAGAACTGACCTTCTCGACGGCAGCCTCTAAATCAGCTCTCTGCACCCAGGAACAAAACTTCCCCTCTCTGCTGGAAGATCTGCACTCCTCAGTGTGCAGTCGGACATCACGAACTGCGCCCAAGCCTCCCACTGCTACGAGCAGCCCCTGCCCTGTGCTGCTGGCATGGTTCAGTTCTCCAGGACGCATCAGCACAGACTTTCTGCAGTTTCTCTCGGAATGTCGTTTTGCATTCCTTGGAGGAAATTTTGCCTTGCTCACTTCAAAACTGCATCCCAGCTGCTGTGGGAAAGTCAGCAAAGAAGCTGCAGGGATTGCTCTGCCTGAGGCCGCAACGTTGCTGCAGTGGTGGGAGGGCGAGCTGGCAGCCCCCAGGATGGACACACTGTGCTGGGCTCATAGGGGCACAGAGATGTGTGCCACAAACAGTTGCAGGTGATACTTGGTCAGAAGCTCAACAAATATTTCAAGAAATACATTACCCATAGGGAGGTTATTTGCTCTCAGAAGGTGCCTCAGCTTTCACAGGCAGGTTTTGTGTTAAAGATGATCCACTTGGATAACTTTTTCCCTCTTTCTCACAACGCTGTCCTGTAACAGAGGTGCCAGGTATGTGTATTAAAGATGCAGAAATGAGGATGGAGGAAACTCCCCGGCCCCTGGAGGAGTTAGAATCGTATAATCACAGAATGGTTTGGGTTGGAAG